CGATACCCTGTCTTCATCAGCCGCCGACCAGGGGTGATCTCACGGTTTCGGTGGCTATGGCGGGACCGCCACCCCTAGCGCCACCAGCAGCGTTTGCCACCAGGCAGGGTATGAAGATAAGCTAACTAATTGTTCCTTTAAGTAAAATCTATCTGCAATGAAAGTTTCTTGAACGCGTTTGCTGTTATTGACGCGCTCGTAAAAGTCGTTATAAACGACCACGCAAATATCTCACTTGCGCATATTAGGTCGTGATGTTGCGCGCATTCTATTTGCTTGTTTTGATCTCGACCAAATCCAACTTGACGCGTGTTGAACAGTTTTTTGAAGGCGATGCGAAACGCTTTTTCAACCAACGGCCAGTGATGCCTATTTTTGAAAGGAAGGAAATGACCGAATGTCCCAGGAACCCACGACACCCAATCTCAATAGGCATCACGTGACACGTCCAACCATTTTCCATACACTCGGCACGCAGTGACTCGTACCGGTTTTTCTTTAGTTCGTGCGCCTCCACCCTGTTCTCTTCCCAAGGGACTGTTAGTTCTATTAGGAAGACAGTCTTTTTAGAGTCAGACCACAACACAATGTCGGGACGCTTATCTGTCTGTGCGATGTGTATTGGAAATTTTAAGGATATCATTAGATCCACTAAAACCTTCCAATCACTGGCACCCCTCAGCAGCTTTATATAATATATAAAAGTGAACATAGAAATCAACACTTAGAGGCGACAGTCTGTTGCATGGTAAATGCAATCGTCGGCCTGATGATTGCATCTAGCATGAAACAGGCTGTCGCCTCTAACTGTTGACTTCTATGTTCACTTTTATATTTACACACGCTCTATATCTGATATTGAGCACTTTATCCCATAAATATAGCACACCTTAAGAGTATATTTCTTCATATATATATATATATATATATATATATATGTAAAAGTGAACATTGAAATCAACACCCAGATGCGATAGATTGTTTCATGCTAAAATCAATCATCATGGCTCTGACTGTTGACTTCAATTTTTACTTTTATATTTACATATGCTCTATCTGATATTGAGCACTTTTATCCCATAAATATAGCACACCTTAAAACTATATTCCTTCATATATATATATATATATATATATATATATATATATATATATATATATTATGAAATGGACTGATCCGATCATCATTTTAATATATTTTTATATTTTACGTTCTTTTATAGATACAAATATTTAAGTAAATGATCTGTATAAACAGTATTAAAAACATTTACCGGCCTGAATGTCCGAGAAATTGCCATAGAAAATATATGTCCTCCGACAGGAATTGAACCTGCATCCTACACGGAACCGTCATATAGCCTGATGTGCAAGACCATTTAGCTTTAGAGGAAGCGTCCGTTTAGCAAAAAAAAAAAAACTAAACTAAAAACAGTAATTTAACCTTGCTATCCCTTTGTCTCTCTAAAAATAACGTAAGAACAAATCTCTCTCTCTCTCTCTATCTATCTATCTATATATATATATGTATGGGTTAATGATCAAATATGGACTAGAATGTGACAATGACCAGATAAAGAACATGCTTCACCAATATTATATGCAGAGGAAAAGAAGAAATAAATCCTGGTCTTTTTATTCTTGTGATGTTTACTTTTCCTGCGTTAATCAGGTTTCTTGTGCATTTGACTTGTTAAAAAAACGTTAGTATAATTTTAGTTCATGGGGCTCCGAAACACGCTTCGTCTCGCCTTGAATCTGGAACGCCAAAAGTCATACTAACATCTGTTTAACGCATGAAATGCACGTGAAGCCTGATTAGCTAATAAACATCAAGCAAGATAAAATTAAAAAAAAAACAAAACAGAATGTTCTCTAGCTATTTCAACAGCGAGACGTTGATCCCTAGTATCCAAACTGGTAGTATGTAGGGTTAATTTCACACCAGTCGAGGTACGAAAGAGGAGAGCAATATTTATTTTTGAAAATGCAAAATTATAACACACGACTAAAAAAGGGGATAAGGAAAGGCTGGTCTTCATTTTGCAGTCACCCTAATACCTCAAGTCCCTATGAAATCCTAACTAATTTCCATATGTACAAGGAGGAGAGCTCATTAGAACAACTGTCATGAAAATATTTATAGAAAAGACACAGGGAGGTCATGTGAGAAATTGACTGAAGTCGGGATACCAGATCACACCGGATAACATTACAAACCCTTCTCGAAATATAAATCTGGAGCATCAGAGCAGATAGGGTAGCAATATTCAATGCATGGACAAATCTAATTAATTTATGTGTTGTGTCCCTTCAGGACGTAGGTGATCATGGTTCTCCACACCCTCCTGTCCCTTGTAGCTCTCAATAAGTTTTGTCTTTTTGTTATTTCTCCCAGACCCTGTTCTGCCACCCACTTGCTTAAGTTACTTTCTTTTGTCCCTCTTTCCCTCTATCTGCCATGTGAGTATTAGATTTTCCAAGTCCTCCTTTCTCATTACGGCTCCCAGAAACTTTCCTGATGTTAAGTACAGTGCAAATTCGGTTCTCGAACGTCTCACATGTCGAACAAATCGGTTTTCGAACAGAAAATTCGAGATAAAAATGCCTCAGTTATCGAACAAAATTTCGGTCCTCGAACGTTCCACTTGTTCAATCAATCGGGTTTCGAACAGAAAATTCGAGATGAAAATGCCTCGGTTATCGAACAAAATTTCGGTTCTCGAACGTTCCACATGTCCAATCAATCGGGTTTCGAACAGAAAATTAGAGATGAAAATGACTCGGTTATCGAACAAAATTTCGGTCTTCGAACGTTCCACTTGTCCAATCAATCGGGTTTCGAACAGAAAATTCGAGATAAAATGCCTCGGTTATCGAACAAAATTTCGGTTCTCGAACGTCCCACATGTCCAATCAATCTGGTTTCGAACAGAAAATTCGAGATAAAATGCCTCGGTTATCGAACAAAATTTCGGTTCTCGAACGTTCCACTTGTCCAATCAATCGGGTTTCGAACAGAAAATTCGAGATAAAATGCCTCGGTTATCGAACAAAATTTCGGTTCTCGAACAACATAGCCGAACAGAGTCAACCCGAACGGAATCATTTCTGAGTTGATCGCCGTGTTGTATACATTCGTGCGTTGTGCTTTTCTTATCTAATTTTATTAAACTGTGACTTTTTTCTCTACATTGATTCCTATTAGAAAAATAGTTTCGGTTTACGAACATTTCGGTTTACGAACGGCCTTCAGAAACGAATTAAATTAAATTACCGAGGTTTGCTCTTTGATTGCATCCTCTCCAAAACCTCATTGTTGCTCACATGTTTGTTTAGCATCTTTCTGTAGAACCACACCTCTGTTGCCTCGAGTCACTTCTTCCTCTTTGGGGTGATTGTCCAACATTCGCTGCCATACAGGAGGGCAGCTAGAGGACGGAAAGTGCGACGCTTTGATCCGAAGACGTATTGGGATGGTTAAAGGTGTATTCCAAAAAACATGGACGAATAGTAGATTTATACAGGTGGAAGTTGGATTCGGACGAGAAAAATTGTCTGCCACGACACAGTGAATGAAACGTCTTAGCAGCAGACCCGGCAGTTGATTCAAATATTTTTGTGATGTCAAAGAAACACTCGTTGCCACTTCGTTAATGCCAACGAACATTGTTGACACTTTCGTAATGCTAGTAGAGACTTTGTAATCGCAGATTCAACTCTAGTAACGCCGTTAAACAATGCAGGTGTCAGACGCCTTCGAATATCACTCACACTAATATTACTTGCTCGATAATCCTCACTCGAATAGTAACCACCGAATAGTGATCCGAATAGTAATCTGTATAGTGAGATATTCACTAACCTCCCCACGCGGTCGAATGCGACACAAGGCCAAGTTAATTGTGGGGTATCCGAGTTCGTAGGCTCGGTCAAAAATTCCCCGTAGACCCTGTAAAACACGGAGTCGGGTAGCTGTCTCCTGAGACGAGACTCTGCCCTTCGACATAGCCTCGGCTGGGGATTCTCTCTGCCCGGAGGCAAGGAGTTTGACTAGTACACTTCCGAAGTAATCCGGAGAGGGAGATATTCACTAAACGTCTCACGCTGTAGGATATAGCACAAGGCTGAGTCCATTGTGGGGTATCCGATCCCGTAGGCTCGGTCAAAAATTACCCGTAGACTCCGTCAAAAACGGGTTTGGATAGCTGTCTCTCGAGACGAGACTCTGCCCTTCGACATAGCCTCGTCTGGGGATTCTCTCTGCCCGGAGGCAAGGAGATTGACGAGCACACTTCCGAAGTAATCCGGAGTGTGAGATACTTATTAACAGCCCAATTAGTGGAACAAAGCGGCATATATTTGGTTATACGTATATCTGAAAGAGAGGTACTGCCTGAGGCTTGTGTTTAATATTTTTTAAAGATTTCCCGGCACTGAGCCAGGCAAGAAGAAAAAATAATTTTCTAATCGTAGCTTAAATGTGTCACAAGGCCCAAAAGTGTGGAGCACCCAGTGAGGATCGAAATCACTACTAAAAGATTATGAAGGGAAAGAATCACGTTTACGCTTCTTAAAAAAATGTCCACAAAAATACAGGTATTAATAATTTATATTCACATATCCCAGCACATATAAAGGGTGCGACAGAAATACCTCGCACTTATGCCTCCCAGTAATACCTTTCACATAATGGCAAGTCATTCGCTAGTTGAAGTCACCATTGCCACTATTGTCTTTCTATTATGTGGGAGGTATTTCTGCCGCACTTCTATATGATCAGGTCATTTTTTACGGGTACTACGCTAATCGTATGTATTTGTATCAGCATGCATGTTTGTTGGTAGGTATATTTAGGCGTCTAGGCAAAAGATGTGAATATAATCCCATTTCGACTTCACAACTATTCTAAAGTTTCAAACGAAACGAACCCGAAATTGTTTTGTTTTTTCTCTCGGTTGCATTTTCTCTGGCTTTTTTATTTTTTTTTGTTTTTCTAGCTTCAGTTTTAGGTTTGGTCTTCGAGGTTCGCTTCTCTCTGTTACCATTCTTCATTTTCTTTTATTCTCAGATTCTTTTCCTTCATTTTTTCTTCTTTCATTTCCTCTTTCATTTTCTTTGTTCTTTTGTTATTTCTTTTTCTTCAACACATTGTTTCCATATTGTTTTCTAAATGGAAAAATGTCCCTTTTTTTCTTTTTCAAATGACTTGGTAATAACCACCACCACCACCACTACGACCACCACCTTCTTCTTCTTTTTCTTCTTCTTCTTTTTCTTCTTCTTCTCCTCCTCCTCCCACTCCCCTCCTCCCACTCACCTTCTCTTCCCCTCCCCCTCATCCCCGCCTCCTCCTTGCTGTTGTTGTTGTTCTTGTTCTTCTTCTTTTTCTTCTTCTTCTCCTCCCCTCCCTCCTCCGCTCCCCTCCTCTTCCCTCCCCTCCTCCTTGCTGTTGTTGTTATTGTTCTTCTTCTTCTTGTTCTTCAGATATGGCAAGTCAATTTAGAATTGATCTGTTTTTAGACTTATCAAAAATTGAAAATATTTCTTACCACCCACTGTGCAATGATTTTGTAAAAAAAAAAAAAGAAAGAAAAGAAAGTTTGGTAACGAACCCCTGCAACCCATTAGGGTTGCAGAAACAGCACATATCCTGCAACCAAAGCAGCAAGATAACCTGACGGAGTCCGTCCCTGTTCGGGCTGATGACAAAAAGTTTTCTTTCTCCTCTATTTATTGTCACCTCAAAGCAAGAGAGCTGTCTGCCCTTCTGCCTTACCCAGAGCTGAGGGAAAAAAACGGAGTCATATAAGATTTTCCAGGATATTTTTTATGTAAGGGAACGTAAAGAATTCGAACTCGGTTCGTTCATTTTACTTTTCTAGTCGTCAACATTTACACTTCACGCACATCCAGAGAAAGCACAGAGAATATCAATTATAACTTATAAAAAATATATTTACACTATTTACATCGTTCGGGCCGTTTTCCTCATCTTTATTGACGTGTTCACGACGTTTCGGCCGTTGTACGCTGCGATCTTCTTCAGGTGATATAATGTTAGCATTTTATGAAAAAATGTAATAATTTACATAATGGGCTTGATTAATTCTCACCCCCTTTTCGCTTTAAATGTTTTCTAAATATTCATTCCTCAGCTGTTAATCAATCAGTAATCATTAGAAAAGGAACAGGCCAAATGGAAGACCTAACCACTGTCAAAATTGATTTACTTGTTTAATGGCATATCAACACCCAATGGGTCATTTAATGACGAAATTTAACTTTCTTGGAAGCTCTGATGTAATATATATATATATATATATATATATATATATATATATAAGGTGGTACTCGTTCGGAAAAACCTCGGATAGCTCAACTTGCAGTAGAACAAATCGGTACCCTAGGAAGAATGGGGAATAAAAAAAAGAAAGAACCAAGAACATTAAAACAAGGCGAAAACAATGGTCCAGTTTTTTAAGATCCAAGTACAAAAAACAAAAACCAAAAAAAAAAAATAAAACGAGTAAAAAAGACAACTACATAAAGTGCTCAATACTTTATACAATACAGTAGAGCAAAACCTAAGATAATCCTGATGAGCCAAGGAAACCTGCCTACGTTTCACCTAAACGGATCTTCAGGGAAGCTGGCTTCCTTTAATATCCGTTTATATATATATATATATATATATATATATATATATATATATATATATATATCCAAGTATAGGATTGGTGTATACAGAATAAATTTCAATAAACAAAAAATACCATTCTTAAAAAGTAGTAGAGCAAATTCGAAAATTATGTCATAAATAAGTTATAAAATCACTACAAAAATAGCCATTTTGTTTCAACACTTTGGTGTCTTATCAAATGATTCTGTTGAACCCATCACTTGATAAGACACCAGAAGTGTTGAAACAAAATGATTATTTTTGTAGTGATTTTATAAGATATTTATGCTATAATTTTCGAATGAATATATATATATATATATATATATATATATATATATATATATATATATATGTTATTCTGCTTTCACAATTGAATACATGATAGATGATACTCAGCTTTTGTACATATACATATTTGTGTAAACAATTACTAGAAGTGGTGATATGTCTTTCATGTTGTAATTTTGTTGAAGTTATATTTTGAAATACAAATTGTAGGATATTATATAGATTAATGTCATGGAAAAGTTCTGTCATGTTTGTTAGGTAGTATTTTAAACGAACTTTGGGTGAAGACCCTAAAATTGCTATAAATAAATATTGCTGATAATTTTATTATAAATAGGTATTGTTGGTAATTTTACTATAAATAGGTATTGTTGGTAATTTTATTATAAATAGGTATTGTTGGTAATTTTTTATGTATCAATATATTGTTGGTACTTCATTATAAAATATATTTTTATATTTTCATAATGTTTTGTTTTTATATGGTTGTTCACTATTTACCCATAGATGGGACCCTAGCTTGTGTTACCACCTAATTCAGGGTGTACCTGGGAACAACAGCGATTAAGAGGTGGTTCCACGCTCCTCAAAACCTCCAATCTCCCGATCAGAGGTCTTATATCCAAATGTATCACTGCCAAGAAGAGGATGAGGAATGACATTGGTACGTCACAAGGGCCAACAATCGTTCCACTATCATTCTACAAGATACGACCAGAGGCGACAGGATAAGGAAACAAATGGATTGACAAGATCCTCCACAGAAACACGAACATTGAACGTAACCGAGGCATGTAAGCTCCACAGGCGGATATGCAATATAATTGGCCCTGTTCTGGCATCCCGTCTACAGTCACTTTCTCACAGACGCGCTGTCGCCTCTATCTGTCTGTTTTACAAATACTTTCGCTGGTTCCCAGACTTCATGAGTTCAACCGCCCTACGAGGCTGGCATCCCGCTCTCACCCTTTCACTGTCGAAACTCCTAAATGTAGCCGTCTCCAATAGCTTCCTGTCTCGCACCTCTCTCCTGTGGAACTCACTTCTCTATTCCAGTTTCCCTGAGAGCTATAATCTCCAGATTTTCAAATGTAATGTCAATCGACATCTCCAGTTGCCTTGATCTATCCACTACCCTTCTCCTCATTCTTTCTTCTATCACTCCTATCTGATCTTACTCCAAATTTTCTGTAACCCCTTGCGTCCTAGTGGCTTCTCGCCTTGCCTGGGGTGAAACGCTTAAAAAAAATGTAGAGGTAATTGGTTTGCTACTCCGTTCTGCAGTGATCGTATGTGACCACAACCGGTCATAGCTTTTGGTTTCCCTAAATAAAGAAAAAAAAACTCGTTTAAATCTGTATATCTAGAAAACACGTCAATACGAGACTTTGCAACAGGTTGTAGTCAGTTAACTTGGAAATGTCCGCTCGTCTATGGAAAGCAGATCCCTTTCCTTTCAAAGATAAGCGGAGAGGTTAGAGATAAAAACGACTCAGCAAGAACTGAAACTAATTAGCAATTTCATTAAGTCAGTATACTTATACTTCCTTATCTTCATGTCAGTTACGAGTAGTGACATCTACTAAATGCATGTACTTTCTTCATATCAGCTACAATTCCATTACTACGAGAATTTCAAATTCATGAAATTGTTTATTATGAAAAGATATATCTGTCGAAAATCAAATTACACTGTCATATACAAAAATTTGGTTGTAAAAGAGGAAATAAAATGCAGTTTTAAGACTTATTGGAAGTTAATTAATTGGGATCATGACCAATGCTGCTATACTTTCTTCTTCTTCGCCTTCTTCTTCTTCTTCCTCTTGCTTTATTTTCTTTCGCTACTTCAGAATTTAATTTCTTGTCTATTTTTATTTCTTTTATTTACCATCTTTTACTCTATTTATTCTTTGTCCTTTTTACATTTTTCACTTTTTTACTTGTTTCCACGCTTCCATTTTTCCACACGTTCTTTCTTTCTTTCTTTCTTTCTTTCTTTCTTTCTTTCTTTCTACGCGCTCTTTCTTTCTACGCGCCCTTTCTTTCTACGCACTGTTTATTTCTTCCTTGCTACACACTGTTCCTTTGTTTGTTTGTTGCTTTCTTTCTTTCTTTCTTTCTTTCTTTCTTTCTTTCTTTCTTTCTTTCTTTCTTTCTTCTCTATTTCAAAATTATTTTCTCCAGTCATTTTCCTTCTCATCATTCCCGCATATTATCTTTCTTTCAAAATTCTCTCTCTCTCTCTCTCTCTCTTTGTCGCTTTAGTACTTTTCCTTCTCATCTATGGTTACTGTTTCTCTGCTTCTGTACCTTGCACGCCTGCCGAAGCCCGTAAAAAGCCAATAAAGGCCACGCTATCGACGCGACCGACTCCAGTATCGACTGTGGGTGTACCGAACATATAAACATCGAACTTGATCCCCAGGGAAGAAATTCAGGAAGGTTAAGCGATGACAAATACATGCCTTTGACTATCTACAAATATGTACGTGCCTGCAAGGGCGTATGCTTGCATCTCGGTGGTAGGCAAAGAATTTCCTGATGGTCATGATTAAGGCTAAAGAATTTTTTTTCCTTTTAATTCACTAAAAGATTTTCTGACTTTTCATCAGTAACGAAAGCGTGCCAATTGTTAAGCCATAATTCCTTTTACATATTTTTTTCTTTTTATTTCATAGTGAACAAATGAAGATTGGGTTTAATTGTTTCAGTTGGTATGCGACGCGTGACATGCGTACTCCAAAAACACCGCTATTGCGCACGCGCATGAGATAAGACACTCTTTTAGGAAGTTGTATATTAAAAAAAAAAAAAAAGATGTGGATATACGTGTATGTTAAATATTCCTGCACACGCATAGAACAGTAAAAAAAAAAATTACTTGTTTTTTGTTTTATTATAAAACGTAAGAAACATTAAGATATGTGAGTAGTGTAACGATTAATTGTACAGAAAGTGTAATCGGTGGGCTGAGATCGAATTCTGGTCGAATCCGTTATTTTAACTTCGCACTGTTGACATCGGAAAAAGCATGAATCGACCTGATCTTCTCAGGTATATGATATTTCCTTAGGGCCACTTCTAATAACTTATGGGGAATGGATTGATTCATATGCGTTGGCAAGGTCCAACCACAATGCAGCGAGGTCGACCTTAATCTCTTTAGCTTCTCTTAATATCTGCGTGACTACTCCAATATGTTCGAGGCATCCCGGAAAACCTGGAATTCCCCCCTTTTGTACTGAAGTGTCGATATAATCTCGTGAGGCGCCGCGATAAAATACTGAAAAAGATCTTACATTCAGTGCACAATAAAGAGATACTCCTTTGAATTGTGAAAGTTAATTTTGAGGAAGAAAAACTCTGAATACAAACGATCGTAAATAATAAAGCAGACTAGGCTTTTCTTCAAAGTACCCTGCTTTCAAAGTACCCTGCTTTCAAAGTACCCTGCTTTTCAAAGTAACCTGTACTTTGAAAAAAAGAAAACTCTGCTGCTACTACGGCTCGTACAAACGAAGAAGCACACACACAAAAATGCAATTTATTTATTTTATTTTATTTTGATAAATAAATCACCTTCTTTTTGTAGGATCTCATACACAAACAGCCGTTACACATGATGTCTGATGATGCTGGATGATTTCAAACGGCTTCTTGGGGGGGTCATGTTTTTCACTGCCATGAAGTGGAATGATTTTATTAAATCACTTGCCAGGAAAGTGAGTTCACTCTGTCGTCCCAGACAAACAAACTTTGTCAACATTCATCTTTCATTAATAGCGTCCTTTCCAAGTGCTCTATCCTTGTTTCTGCTTTGTTTGCTAACGTCATCAACGATCTGCCTGATATCAACAGTTTCAAACTAGGTATATATGCTGATAATCTGTTCCAAACTAGGTATATATGCTGATGATCCGTTCCCAACTAGGTATATATGCTGATGATCTGTTCCAAACTAGGTATATAGTCTGATAATTCGTTCCAAACTAGGTATATATGCTGATGATCTGTTCCAAACTAGGTATATATTCTGATAATCCGTTCCAAACTAGGTATATATGCTGATGATCTGTTCCAAACTAGGTATATATGCTGATGATCCGTTCCAAACTAGGTATATATTCTGATAATCCGTTCCAAACTAGGTATATATTCTGATAATCCGTTCCAAACTAGGTATATATGCTGATGATCCGTTCCAAACTAGGTATATATGCTGATCATCAGTTCTCAACTAGATATATATGCTATTTACTCCTGTTTTAAGAGTAAGTCCGATGGACCCGTTAAAGTAAAGCCGGTAGCTGATCTCTAAAATGACCAATCAATAGTTAACTGGGGCAAGAAATAGCTTGTAAATTCAAAAAAAAAACCCCAAAAAACCTCTGTCTTTTAGATTTCATAGAGAACTTTCTGTCTTCCACTAGCATGGCTGATGCTAACCTCGAGGAGAGCAACTAATCGCGCCTTCTAATTACGTCATGTTTTCCACTGACTAGAGGAGGAATGATTGCATTACATTAGTTGCTAGGAAAGTTAGTTCACTGTGCCGTGCCAAATGTCTTCGTCAGTATTCATCTTTCACGTTTATAAATCTACCATTCGTCCGTACATTAAATATTTCTACCATATCTGGTCTGGTGCTTCTGCCACTTATCTCAATATACTCGACGAAATGTAAAGAAATGTCCGCTGTGTTATCGGTCCAGACCTGGCATCTCAACCCCATTCGCTTTCCCACCGCCGTGACGTGGCCTCACTCTGTCTTTTCTAGAAATATTTTCATGGCGTTTGTTCCAATGTGCTTTCCTCCTTGCTAACTCGACCATATGAACTTAAGCTCACTATTAGGTTTGCTGAGGGAATAGGCTAAGTGAACTCTAGAATATTTACTTCGTTAACCATAATTCCGATTAATCGCCCCAACACTATATATATATATATATATATATATATATATATATATATATATATACACTAATACACTTATTTTATATATATAAATATATATATATATATATACACACTAATACACTTATATATATATATATATATATATACACTAATACACTCATTATATATATATATACACTAATACACTCATTTTTTTATATATATATATATATATATATATATATATATATATATATATATATATACATCTACATCTAATCCTAATGTCAGCTATCAATTATAAAATTAATTATAGTCATCAAATTCACTTAAATACGTTACGATTTGTGCTTTTACTGCAATTACGAGTAGGAACCTAACGCCCCCCCCATAAAACTTAGCCCCTATTTAAAACAAGAGGAGAAGGAGCCTAGCTCCTCCCCCCACTAGAGTAAATATCTATTTAAAAATATTTATTTTAAAATATTAAGGGGTTGGGACTTAGCCCTATTTTAAACTAGAGGGATTGGAGCTTAGACCCATTATTCTCGAACGGTCATAATTTTCTGTTGTCGAATTTCATTTTTTCCTATTTATCCACTTTTGCTATTTTTACCGTTGCCATTTTTACCCTACCATTTTTTCCGCTGCCATTTTTACAGCTGCCATTTTTACCGAGCACCATCTGTCTATTCATATCTATCTATCTATCTATCTATCTATCTTATGAAATGGACAAAGTCCGACAATTATTTTAAGACATTTTTATGTTTATACATTCTTTTTATAGATACAAATATTTAAGTAAATGCTCTGTTTTATAATAAACAGTATTAAACAACATTATGTCCGAGAATTTTTCATAGAAAATATTCGTCCTCCGACAGTATTCGAACCTGTATCCTATACGGAACCGTCATATAGCCTGACGTGCCTTTTAACCGATTTAAGAGCATTTACCTAAATATTTGTAGGTATAAAAAGAATGTATAAACATAAAATGTATGTATGTATGTATGTCTGTCTGTCTATCTATCTATCTATCTATTCGTTCGTTCGTTATCTGTCTGTCTATCTATCAAGCACTACTTCTAGGTATTGTTCTCGACAACTTCTCTTGCACACATATATATTTTATATATATATATATATATATATATATATATATATATATATATATATATATATATATATATATATATATATATATATATATATGTATGTGTGTGTGTTTGTGTGTGTCATTACTTATATACTTACAATAGCATGCTGCAATAAAGCAAAAACAACCCACCCTGTCGTTACTTACACCCTCATCCCGGTATTTCTAAAGCACTTGTCTGTCGTCGCCAAACTGACGCTTTACAATGTAACTTGTTTTCATTACTTTTTATTGTATGACAGCACACCATTCCCCATTTTACAACCACACTCTCTTAATTACAATAATATTCCTTGTTGAAGCTGTCCAGTTCTTGAGTTAAACCATTTCGAGATTTGTCTATTTTAACATTTCAAAATATACTAAAATAAAACAAATTCAAAATTCTTCGCACACATTTATCTTATTCTGTTTCCAATTAAAATTCTTACTCAGATGAATTTTCATTTTTCTGTATTTTAATAATATTTAATTGCTTTAAGGATCAGAAAACAATATTTCTTTGGGATTAATTATTTCACGCAAGTACTTCCTACAGATGCAGTCACAAAATCTATATAATATTAAAACTCTAAATTCGTATGTATGTGTTACCAAGATACAGTATAAATTATACATAATACCTGGACCAATTTAGGAACATACTATACCTTGAACCCCGGTAGTTCGTTTCCAAATTTTATTAAAATTAGACAAGAGTTTCTTGAGCTAGGGTGTTTTCTTTTTCAGTTTTTACGGCATTTTTAATACGAAATTCAATATTCATGGCTCAGTGGATAAAGACGTTGGCTAGATCCAGTGACTAGACCCAAAGAGTTGTGAGTTCAATACTGAAACAAACTTGGAAAGTTGAGTTAAAGGGAAATAACTGAGACACGCGGAAGAGGCATGGAACGTCGAACTAGAACAATCTACCCCCGGCGGACGAAATATCGGGTTCGGTGAGAAATTCCAATCACCTGAAGAAGGCCGGATCGTACAACGGCCGAAACGTTGTGAATATGGCAATGAAGATGAGGATAACAGTCCGAATAATGTAAATAATGCAAGTAATAATAGAACGTCCTCTCAGAGATATAGACAGAAATTCAGTATTTGTTTCCGATACATATTATTATAGCAATATAGATTATATTCCAACTATTATGTACGTGAAAAATAATAAATATTTATAATGCATTATAAAAACATTATTACATAAATTTAAATGTACATAACACAAATCTAATTACACAATTCACTACACTAGATTAAAATTGTTTTTATAAACAACTTCTTGAAAGGTGAAGATGACATATGTGTCACATAACTTGATGCTAAATAAATAAAAAGATGCACGCTGATTTGCTGCCGTCACGTATTTTTGAAATAAATGCAATAAAGAAACAAAAATGTATAATAAAATATACAGTTATTATTTTGAAAAAGACTACACCTGTTTTAAGCCAAATTTTGATGCAATGTGTGATCTATGAATCCCAGTGGAATAATAAAACGTTTATCGTTTTTAGTATTAAGTATTAATTTTGTATTCAAAGTACATTTTATGGCAGAAATTTATCTTTCAATGTAAAGAAGTGAAGCATATATCTGTTGGTAACGTGTGGAATAGTTTATTTTCATTATTTAAATAAAGATATATTCGTATTAAGGCATTTTCGGTGCTTGCATTCGTTTTCGGGCCGACAAAAATTTTATTTATTATTAACTAATATTTAAAAAAACATATACTTAATATTCTGAAACCTATTGAAAGCTATTTTAACGCTATTACTACAAATTTTCACGCATAGTGTTAACTATGTAACCTAGTGGAACTATAAACCTTCTTCTACGTCTTTGGATATAAATTAAAATGTTTAATTCATAATAAAATTTATAATATTGTTACCCCATCATTTTGTATCATGAACTCCTTTTAAAAGGAACCAAACAGGTTTATGGGTGATCTAGGTAACTCCTAAATTTAAGTCATTACTTGAAAATATATTTTTTCTTCTGTGACCGTTTAGATCAATCATTCTATAATCTGACATGAAGTTATTAACTAAAAAGAAGCGAAACCCTTTTATCGATTCAATCCGATCTGAGCTAAATCAGTTTATCGATTCTCTGTCATCAAAGCTCAATGGAGAAGTAGAAACGTGAACAACTAATAAAATGAACTAAATCCGCTATTGCACTAGGTAGGCTATTGCCCTAGGTAAGCTATTGTCCTAGGTAGGCTATTGCCCTAAGCAATCTATTGTCCTAGGTAGGCTATTGCCCTAGGCAATCTATTGTCCTAGGTAGGCTATTGCCCTAGGCAATCTATTGTCCTAGGTAGGCTATTGCCCTAGGCAATCTATTGTCCTAGGTAGGCTATTGCCCTAGGTAGGCTATTGCCATAGGCAATCTATTGTCCTAGGTAGGCTATTGCCCAAGGTAAGCTATTGTCCTAGGTAGACTATTGCCCTAGGCAAACTAGTGCCCTAGGTAAGCTATTGCTGTAGGCAAGCTAGTGTCCTAGGTAGGCTATTCCCCTAGTTAAGCTATTGTCCTAGGTAGGCTATTGCCCTAAGTAATCTATTGTCCTAGGTAGGCTATTGCCCTAGGCAATCTATTGTCCTAGGTAGGCTATTGTCCTAGGTAGGCTATTGCCATAGGCAATCTATTGTCCTAGGTAGGCTATTGCCCAAGGCAAGTTAGTGTCCTAGGTAGACTATTGCCCTAGGTAGGTTATTTTTGTTAGTATTAAATGGCTATATAATTTCCAGACTTGACTTGTATACGTCTTCTTCTTTTCTTAGATGTGCTAACTCTTTTTAGTACATAGAGGATCATGACTCTCCACGACTTCTTTTGTTGCTCTGTAGTTTTTTTTTACATTTTATCATCCTTTTTTTTTCTTTTTTTTTTACGCAAACACGTTAAGTAAGTTACTCGCTGTTTTCCCTTGATTCTCTGGTATCTATTATGCCCTGTGTGTGTTAAATTCTCGAGCCCCTTTTTCCTCATTGCTTTTCCTAGATTTTTCAACAGTTTCATCCTGAGTGCAAATTTAAGTTTCTTTGTTTCTTCTATTTACCTTAAAACTTCCTCATTACTCACATGGTATAACCCTGGTATTCTTAGCATTCGTTGGCAAAACCATATCACCGTTGTTTCAAGACACTTTTTCATCTATGAAGAAATTGTCCCGGAATCCCTGCGATATAGAAGATTGGATAGTACATAACAGTTTCGCATTCTCTTTTTTATATATATTTTCTTATCTCCTAATACTTTGCTTACTTTCTCGAAGACATCTTTCACTATTCGTAGGCATCTTTACATTTTCTATTACGACGTGATCTAGATAATTAGATTTTTGTGCCTACTTGATTTTGGCATCATCAGTATGTAGCTCACACCTGGTCTCTCTCTTTTGATGATGACTGCATATTCTGTTTCCTGATAGACAATAGTCCTTTCTTCTTCCTTTCCTTTCCTACTTTATCTAAGAGTTCTTTCCGTTTCCTTTCTGAGCCTGCCGTTAACACACTGTCATCCGTGTCATATACCTAGAAGTATAGAAATCTCAACGTATATACACAGGGTGCGGCAGAAATACCTTCCATATATAACTCCGAGAAATATCATAATGTTAATCTAGTGGAAACGAAAGACCGCACTCTCACCACTGAAAAGGATTAAAAGATAAAATGTCTTACAGACGCAAAGAATTCACACTTGCCTTGCACGTAAACTATTCAGAAATGAAAAATCGTCGCCCGCTGTGTCAAAATAAGCCAATAACGTCACGCGAGACTTTACGAGATATACGATGTAGTCTCTATACAACGCTGGGGGATAAAAAGTGGATTTATATCTTTCCTAAGGGTATTCGAGCTAAATGAATATAGCGAACTCAAGTGGAATTGGCCCTTTAACTACCAATACGTTATCTTTTAAATACCATCCACATCCAAATTTACAGCAACTAGTATACCCAATCGGTCATTCATTTAAGCACTGATCAGGTTGGATGTTGATTAACGTTGTTGATCTAATGAGAACCATTATTTCATCGAGATATGGCCGCAAGCCTAAAGTCTCTGTGGAAATAACTTACCTCGAATATAGAATGATTCAAAGATCGCCAAAGTTTTACTTTTTGCCTCATAAACCCTATTTTTATTTTGTTAATCTCTGTCTTCTTTTCCATTCAACATATCTCTTCTCACCTTGCCCCATGTGGCGAGTTTAGCGTTCCATTCGGGCCTTACACTTACCTGTGAAAATGACTCACTTTTATTTACTCTTGGGCGTGTTGTTGGCGGGAGGTATTGCGAAAAGACAATTCCAAGATTTTGAGAGCTCCTTCCTTGAATGTTTGCAACGTAAGTGCGCTAATAATCGGATGCTTTACAGAAACATAAAAGTCGACATGTGCGAACTAATATACCTATCCGTAAATGCATATATATATATATATATATACACACACACACACACATATATATATATATATATATATATATATATACATGCATATATATATATATATATATATATATATATATATATATATATATATATATATATAT